GCCGCAGCATGATACACCGCAACGAACACCGGAGGAGCTGGAACTGCTGGATGCTGCCAAATGTGGCGATCTTACAACAGTAAAGGTATGAGAAAAGGGGTATTTTTAAATTTTTGAATAATCGTTTAGAAAGTGTCGAATATTACGTTTTTTTTTACTTGATAAGTCATATATGCTTTCACTTGGTGCATATTTATGCACATATTCGCATATATATTCTTGTTATGATTTAGCAGGGAGTAATATGAATTCCTATGTGCATAAATATGTACCAGGTGAAGGTGTATATGATTTAATGGAGCGAAACGTCTTATCTCACTCTTACCTTCTTTTATCATACTGTTTTTTTGCGCTGTAGTCTATCGCGCCTTCACCATTTTGCTTCCAAAGTCAACCTGATTGCTAAAATCGGCTTACCAAGCTTAAGTTTCTCGCAGCAAAACTATTTGGCAAGGTTTAGTTGTTTCGAGATGTTCATGAACTACTACAACTTTCATTATCAGTAACATCCCAACATGATATTGCTCATTATGCTGGAAACAGTGAATAAAGCCTGGAGGAAGCAGCTCAGGACAGGATAACGTGACGTAGAAATGTTTGATTTGTGTATTTTTGCTCACTCCTAGTTGTGGAATGGTTTACAGAGAATCATCGAGCTAACTGATGGCAAAATTATAAATTGTAAAGATTTTGATGGGCGCGAATCGACCCCACTTCATTTTGCTGCTGGCTACAATCGTGTGGAAGTACTGAAGTACCTGCTTGAAAATGGTGCTGATATTGAAGCTCGTGATACAGGGTATACGCACAGTTCATTTTTTTTTTGCTATTTCTTTGTACTTTTATCATTCGTTTCAATTGCAACAAATTATTATGTGTCACATAATCCTTCTGTGTATTATCTATTTTTCACCATAATTTTACTGCAGAATTACGGGATTTAGGAGCTGTTAGCATAATTTTCTACGCTGTACAAAAACTGAAACGTGAAATTAACTTCCACATTCGTCTGTAGTTTGTAGCTTCCCCCTCCACGTTCGGCACCGTAAATTTAAATTCAACCTTCATAAACGCCTGGTACGCAAATACGGCCTTGTGGGGGTTTTGGCATCAAAGACACTAACTTTGGAGCCAGAAAACTAGGAAGCTGAAATTTTTGGGAGGATGTCCCTCGTCCATGTGCTGTTCAAGGATTTCGAATTCAGCTTTCACGTATGCTTATGTTTTGCGTACCGTTACGTAAAGTCTTTGGTGGGAAGTTTCGCGGTTTAGGAAGCAGACAATGCATCAGCTATTTGTGCACCCACCAAACTATGAAGTAGTGGAAATTCTCAACGGAAAATGCCCGGTAGGCAGAACTGCACAAAACACATGACAGCACCGAATACCCCGTGGCGCGCCGCTTTTGTCTAGAAATCATACATATGAAAATAAGCTTTGCAGTTCATCATTTTTTTCCTAAGTTTTGCATATGCTTTTTTACAGTTGGTTGGTACCATTACATAACGCTTGTGCATATGGTCATTTGGTGGTCGCGGAATTGCTAGTCAAGGTAATTTTTCTTGAATATTAATTTTTCTTATTATTTTTCGAATATTTTTTTAAAAGTCCATGCTGTGTGATTGATGGCACCACTTGCAAAATGGAAAACGTGTACAGTGCTGGAAATCAATCGGTGTTGATGAATTGAATAAGAGATGAAAAATGAAAGTAATTATAAAGAAAAAAAAAGCCGAAGACTCGATTTGGGGTACAGATGAGGGAAAAGAAAGTAGTAATTATAGGCAAAGTCTAATTATGATTTAGTGACACTTAAAAATGTACAATGATGGCTTTTTGCCGGAGCGAGGGTTATTTCTTCCTTCGTCTTTTTTCTATCCAAATAACGATTAAGGATCCATTTTCCTCATAGCTTTTTTTTCCGTAGTATTATTCATTCGTCAGGTTAATATATCACTATCTTCTTCCCTTAGGACATACCTTGAATACCTTGAACAGCTGTTGTTTCATCGACCGCTGATGTCACGCCATCGATGCAGCTGGCAACTTCTCCATTTCGATCGATCCTGAGCCTGACGAGAC